CCAAGTCCAGAGAGAGAGAGCTCTGGCACAAGGGTGGCAAAAACATCCATCCCTCACACTTCCCTGCCAGGAGGGGAGAGAAAACTTAACCAGAAACTTAACCAAAAAAAGGAAAAGAGAGGGAAAAAAAAAAAAAAAAGGGAACGAGGGGGGGAAAAAAGAGAAAGAGAGAGGGAGGGAAGAGCAACCCAACGTGGTTGGAATAACTCAGCTCACTGCAGCCTGTCCAACAACAGCCCTGGCGGATCATAAAACAGCCTCTCACATCCATGTGGTTTGTGCTGCTAGGAGACAAGGTACAAAACACACAGGGCTCCATAAAACCTTATATTCCCCCTCAGACCCAGAGTTCAGCTGAAGAATTTGCATCACCTAATTAGAACCGAGCTTTAAAATAATCCAAAATAGTAAAGCAGAAAAAAATGAACATCCCCCTTTTCTTTCTCTGCCCCCTTTTTGTGATTTTTAGCCACCATAAAACTTGAAAAGTACCTTTCTGACTCCTTCCCAGGCAGGGTTTCCACACAGAGGCTTTGCTGGCAGGCCTTAATACCCAGCCCCTTTGAAGGCTCCATCAGTTCCTCAGGTGTGCCCAGCCAGGTGTGCCCAGCTGCTCACCTGAGAGGAGACCCCAGCTGCTGCTGGCCCTGCAGTCACACACAGCAGGGTCAGAGCCCCCCCAGCCCAGCCTTGTGCTGCTTTCTGACCCCCAGCTGCTGTCACCTCCTGAAAGGCTAAAAGGGACAGACATTTCTCTGGAAGAATGGAAAAGCCAACACCCAGGCCTTTGGATGTCAGAGAAAAAAAAAGTCCAAATCTTTTCCTTGCCTCAGCTCCAGTGAAAAAAATTCTCTTCTGCGTTATCTCACACTTATCCCAGGGTTTATCTCTGAGACATTTCAATTCTTGTCCTGGATTTTGCAACCTAATAAAGACTGTAGCCTGGAAAAACGATTCTAATCCAGAGTTTGGTGTCATGTCCACGCTGCCCTCACCAGAGCAGGCTCCAGGGGTGCACATGGAGCACATGAAGCTTTCACATGGAAAGGCTGTTCCAAAAATTCCTTGAGACCAAGGAAAGGCCCCTGCAGAGCCCAGGGGTGCTGTGACAGGAAATGAAAACACTGTGCTCCCCAAAATGCTGCTGTGGGGAAGCAGAGCTGAGAAGGGAATTTCTTGCCAGGGCTGATTTATGGCAGCTGGAATCCCCCAGCCTTTGCAGAACCTGTGGAAGTGAAATGCTGAGGAAGTTCTGCATCCTCCAGGAGAGTCAAGGAAAAACAAAGTGCAGCCTTTATAAACACTCTGTGTGTGTACACTGCTCAAAGAGACTCTTTCTGCTGGGTCTTGGCTTTGTGTTTCCTGCTGCTGGCCAGGGAGGCTGGTTGGGAGCAGGAATTTGGGGATTTCTTTAAAATGACAGTATTGGAAAAACGTTGAAATGTTGACATTTCCCACCAAATGAAAGTTTTGGTTTCTTTTTCAGGTCAGGATCTATCAAACTCTATCATTTTCCTTCTTTTAAAATAATATCCACATTCAATAAGATTGTATGAGCATGATTCTTCCAGAGTCTAAAGGGGAACGTGACAATTTCATGGATTACATACCTGCACCTTTATTTGTCAAGAGAGAATCAACCCACCAAAAACTTTTTAAGCTTTGTGATTTTTCTATTTTTTTTTTTTTTTCCTGATCTGCTTCTTCAGCCTGGGGGCATTTTGGCACCATCTTTGCCATCAGGAAAAGATCAGGACGTGCTTTAAGTGAGGATGAATGGTTCCTCTAATGGCACCAGTAAAGGAAATTTAACAGGAGCATCTCTGCCACAGGAGAGCAGGACAGGGCAGTGCTGCACCGTGGCTCTGCACTGCTGCAACAGAGAACAGGAGCTGCAAGGAACCAGGAAAATCCAGCTGGAGATCCATGAAAGGCTGTGAAAGCCATGAGAGGCACAAAAAGGTTCTCAGTGAAACCCAGGAGAGGCACCAGAAAACTGAACTCCATCCCCTGGCTCCTGACATGAAATATTTCCATTTCTGAGACACCAAGCATCCCCTGGCATGGCCCCAGCTCCAGCCAAAGGTGGCAAAGGAGGTGAGAACTGGGCAGAGCCTGCTCTCTCCTGCCAGTCTCAAGTTGGTTGGACAAGAAAAGGAAAAAAAACCCAAACCCCAAAACTGTTTTTATTTACAGTCATGTTCATGGGCCACTCTTTGTCTAGGCAGCTGGTATTAGCATCTGAAGCTGTCCTGGAATCTAAAATACCATTTATCTACAGGGGAAATACATCCCTGGATTAAACAGTCCATCAAAATAATCTGGGAATTGACACAGGGCCCAAGGAGAGCAAAGGTGACAAGATGTGGAGCAGGGACCTTTGTTTGTCTTGGCTGCAGGGATGTTTTCTCAGAAAACCAAACCAAACAAAACAACCTCCCCTTCCCAGTAACCCCCCCCCCCCAAAAAAAAATAATTTGGCTTCAGGAGTTTCCTTTTGCTTCTTCTCCTCCCACCTTTGTTTGGTTGCTTTGAGCACATCCCCATCCACCACCCAGAGCAGTTTCCAAACAGAACTGATGGAAAAGTGGGGCTGGAGAGGGGCAGGGATGTCCTGGGAGCTGAGAGCTTTTCTCTTTTCCTGCACAGAGCCCTGAATGCTCAGGAGAGCTGAAACCTTCAGGTTTACATCACTGGTGCCCAGTGTGGGGGTGTCTCATGCAGCCATTCTGGCAGACCCTGAATGAATGGATCATGCTTGATGAAACTACTAATTACAGTTGGTGCTCCCATTTTAACATTTAATCCAAGGAAATCTGCCATTTTAATCTCATGCAGGCAGTAAAGGGTGAAACAAAAAAGGTCAGTGCCAGATTAGGATGAGGGTTTAAAGCAAGAGACAGCAAAAATGTCACTGGATGTAGGTGCTCCTCATAAAAAATCAGCTTTTCCAGCTGCATGGAACAGTCTGGAACTAAATCTGCACACCTAGAGCAGAGGGGGTCATGTCCAGCTGTGACACAGAGCTCACACACAGCCTGCTGAAACTGCTGTGCTCTAAAATTCACCCAGCAGGTGAATTCCAGGTAGGAAATATTCCCTCTCTTGTGCTTTGTTTAGAGGCCTTTTGTGGTGCAGAAGAACACCCAGCACAAATGATCTGAATTCCAAGCTGGTGCTCAGCCTCTTTTCTCCTTGGCTCTCTGCAATCTTTGGAGCCTCTGCCACTTTTATCCAGTTTGGGGGTTTTTTTGTTTGTTTGTTTTTTAATCCAGTTTCCTCAGAGCCACTCTCTGTGGGGAACAGCTGAATTTTGGCCACTGCTCAGACTCAATTTGCTGCACCATGGTCCTGACTCGAGATGGCCAAACTTGTCACAGTGAGAGAGACTCTGGTGAGATCAGAGTCTGAAAAGACAAATTCCACAGTGCAGAGAGAAAAGGATGTTTTCTTTTCCTCTGGACAAAACACAACTTCTCTGGCAGGCCCAGGCAGGACAGTGTGTCCACTTTGGCACTGGCCTGGATGTACACAGGGGTGTTTTTACATGCAGCCTGCTTGGATTACTCAATCTCCCTCCAGGAGAATTTGGCAAGGAAGAGATCTGAGAGGATTTAGGAAGAGCAGAGCCTGCAGAGAGCTGCTCCTCTCACACAACTTCCAGCCCCACTTGGAGCCACTGACCACTGGGAAAACACCCAGAGAAAATCACCCTGAGAGCTGCTGGCCCCGGGGATGCTCAGGTACCCCCAGACCTTCATCCAACAGCCCAGAAAACTCAACCAGCCCCAAGCCAAACCCTCCCCCCTTCCCAATCACGGTTCTGAACCTTTGCCAAAGGCATCTGGTAAAAGATTCACGTGTCAAAGGCTTTTCCTGACCAACAACCTTTCTGCATCCTGGCTTCTCCCAGGGTTAGAGCTGCTCCCCTCCTGAAAACACAATTTAACACCCAGCTGGGGAGACAGGGTTTACTGCTGGTGCTCAGCTCTTCTAAACTGCAAGTTAAACTCGCAGGGAAATGAATCATAGCTTGTCTTGGGATTCTCATGCTTGTTTAGGTTGCAAACACCCCACCTGTTTCACCAAAATATTATTTTATTTGCCTTTGCTGCTTGTAGAGAAAGATACACCCCTTGTGCTTACTGAAAAGTTCTTGTGATCAGTGCCAGGCAACCCGAGGGAGGAAAACAAATTTCTTGCAGTGAAGGCCGTGGTTAGCCCTGGTTATGAAGTGCAGAGCAGAGCTGGCAAACACAAACACGAGAAATCAGAGGCCTGGAGGCCGTGTGTGAATGCCAGGGCTCCCCCAGGATCCACTCTGCACACCCAGGACCTGCCAGCCCAGCCCAGCAGGGCCTGAGCTCCACCATGGCTGGGTTGGGTGGGTTCCTGTCCTGGCTCTTGTCCTTTTCAACTCCGGGGTTATTTGCATTCCTCTGCTTTTCAAATGCAAATAAACCAGTCGGGTTGGATATGAAGAATCACCTTTCTAATAAAAAGGATCTCCTCACACAGCACTTCACTCTGGAACAGGCAGCTGGCATCTGTGGGAGCATTAATTGAAAACATTTGTATTTATCCAAGTAGAATGCATCACAAGGACCTTGAGTGGTGATTCTTCTGGGTTTTCCTTTACAATCAGGTGTAAATTTCATTCCTGGCATTCTGTAAATCCGACTTTCACTCTGTAATTTCCTATTGTGCAGCACAGTTTCAGTCAGTTTTCATTTAACACCATTTCACAAAGAGCACGAGTGAAACACCCCACAGCTCACTGCTGGGAGGGTTTCTGTGTCAGTGGTGTTATAAACACCAATAACTCCTGAAATCCTGAAATCTCTGCACTCTCTATACCAGGCCAGAATGAAAAATGTCCAAGTGTCAGCCCCAGTGATCAAATTTCCTCCCTTGTCTGCTTGATTCCCTGTGCTCCCCTGGGTTTCCACAAAGCTCATTAAACAAAACAAACCTTTAGAGAGGAGTTTGACATGATTAACTACCTTTGCTGGTAATGTGTGCAACCCACCCAGGTGTCTAGACAGCTCGAAAAATACAGATCATATTTAGGAATAACAGCTGGTACTCCTCACGTCCCTCTGCTGGACCTCAAATTAAGTAGAAACAGACCTTATCAATATTAGGTGGTTCTCTTCCAAAGAAAACATCCAGCCTGTGGCAGGAAATTAAGTTACTGCTTTGGTGGGTGGCACTTCACCTGCAGCCTACCAGAAAGTTCTGCACTCTCAAAGGTCCTGTTTTGAGAAAAGTGAGAGAACAAAGAGTTCAGACCCCTTTCCACTGGGGGAAACCTTCAGTATTTTTTCATAAAAGACAAAAAAATAAAAAAATCTATCAACACCTACCAGATTCCAGTTTAGGCAGGTGTTTTTTGCCTGCCCGTGTATCTTTTAAAAGAATAATTTGGAGAACCTGTTTGCTTGGGCAGGCTTTAGACTGCAATTTTGTTAGGTGCTCCTAAATAAAATAATGGCTCAATAAGAGATTCTGAGAGGGAACAGGGACAGGCTCTGGCAGGAACAGGCATTACAGGGACAAACCAGGACAAACCAGGTGCTTTCCACGAGGTTACCCCAAAATTGGCTCCTCTGTCTTGGCCCAGGTCCCACCCAACATCACACATGGCAGAGGCAAGAGCAGTGCTAGGTGCCCGAAAAGTGTGGACAGGAACCCTCTGATTGTAAAAGATGTGTGAGCAAAGTGAAAAAACTGCATTAATCCCATTGAATGAGGGCTCTGGCCCAGGATGCCCCCGTGCATTTCCAGGAGTGTGAGTGGGGCACAGAAAGCCAAGGAGGTGCCTCCAAACTCACGGGGGACTGCTCCCAGCTCCCAGATTTCACACAAACTGTGCAAACACCAAGGACATCCCAAGGCATTCCCTGTTCAGCAGGCACCTCTCTTCTGATCGAGTCCAGTTTGTCACTCACAAAGGTCTTTGCCCCAGTTCATTGTGTTTGAGGATTTATCATCCCTCTGATGGGGGGGAAGCAGATTTATAACTCAGCTAAATTCCAGCCCAAGAGGCTGCCCAAGCCCTGAACTGTGGCTGCTCATCCAGGGCTCAGCCCAGGCCATCAGTGCTTTATTCTGAGGCTGTAAATCCCCTCGGCCTTCACCCAGCCCCGCTGGGCAGGGGGATGTGGCTGCTCTGGGCTGTCCCTGCAGGGCAGAGGTGGCAGAGCCTGGCAGGGACACACCCAGAGCTGGACCCGCACCAGGGAGCACAGGGGCAGAACGCACAGGGCAGCCCCAGCACGGGCCGGGAAGAGCAAACTCTAAAACACGAGGCAGACAAAACATCTGGCAGCTGCTGTGAATAGTTTTGTGTCTGAAGGGCAGACAAGCCTGCAATAGTTTCGAATGAAAACATGTGCAAAGGCAGGATCAGCTTCAGTGTGTTTTGTGCAAGCATTGAATGAGTTCTGTTCCTTTCAGCACGGTTTTGTAAGCCAAGAAAGGCTGTGCTTTGGGTTAGGTTTTTAATTTTAATAAACTTTACTGAATAAATCATTGTTTTTCCTTCTCCAGTCAAATGCAGCTTTGGCATAAGAACAACAGCATCAGCTCTGCATAGGAAGCGTGTGGGAGAGAAGAGGGGCAGTGCTAGGAACTGCTCTTCATAATTGTCTTACCTTATGCAGGAGAAAAGGTGTGACTGCCAAAATAAGTTGTGAAAAGTATGACGCACGTTCCTTCAAGTTCCCACATCCCAGGCCCAGGGAAAGGGAAAATTGCCTTGATCCTGGCAAAGGACTTGCCAGGTACAGGCTGGTGGCTGGGCTCCAGCAGGGAAGTTGTTTGAGCTCAGAAAGAAATTCTCAGTCCTGCAGACAAAGGAGAGAATTGGCAATTGTCCTCCCCTCTCCGGGATTTCCTGTCCTGCCATTGTCCCGGGCTGGATGAAGATCCACGGGGACAGGTTTGTGTACCCTGCACCCAGGACAGGCTTCCCCTGGGAGAGGAGCCTGCCAGAGGAGGATGACACATTTCCTCAACCCCTGCACTGAACACTCCCCCCCTCGCACCCTTTTCTAGACACAAATCGCTTCCACAAAGCCTCAACTCACAGCGAGAAACAAAAGCTACTCCAGTGCTTGTCCAGAGCACCAGGATGCCAAAGTTCTCTGCAGAGTGGCTGCAGCAGCAGCAGGGCCAGGAGCCTCCCAAAAAACGTAGGAGGAGCTCCAAGTGTGTAACCCTGATGAATCAGCAGCAGCAGCAGGAGGAGGAGGAGGAGGAGGAGGGTGAGGTGCTGCCAGGGCAGCAGGGGTGGCTCTCAAGGCAGCCCTGACACAATCAGAACCTGCAGCTTTTACTCACCAAGGCAGAGAAGTGCCTGCCCCCGTGGCAGGGCTGGGATGGAGGAGGAGGAGGAGCAGAGCACCACTGATTTATGAGGCCTTGCTGATCCGTGATATCATTTGTTGATCCCAGCAGGTCCAGTCCCCAACTCATGACTTCCTGCCCTGTTGCCATGGCTCTGTACATAAACACTGCAGCTCCCGGCCCCAGCAGGTCATTTGTTTCAAATATTCCATGCAGCTGGAACACGAGGCTGTTTGGGTGTCTGGAGCTGAGCATGAACTAATTCCTCAGTTTTCTGCACCTGCCCCACCTCCTGCAGCCCCCCAGGGACAGGGACAGGGCTCTGCTACCTGCAGCAAAGCAGACTCCGTGTGCACAAACCCTCATCTTCCTCACCTGGCGTTTTTTCCACACGTAAGAGACACCCAAACCTTAAAAATAAGGATCTTGTCCTGACTGGAGACAAGGGGCAAGAAAGCACTCGCGTTTTTTGGAGCCCTGCCTCCCTTTACCTGCACTTGAAGCTCACACGTTGCAGAGTTTGATTAAAAGATTTGGGCTCCTCACACAACTTGGTGGCTGCAGGGAAGGCAGAGAATTGTGAGCACGGGAGGAGGAGCTGGAGCCTTCATCACCAGGGACAAAAGCATCACCACACTGGGAGAGGCACAGCCTGGGAGCATCCCTGTGCTAAACAGCCCTGGAACCCAAAATTCCAGCAGAATTCCCATCAAAATCCCACCAGGAACCCACGGCTGCCACATCCAGCTCTGAGGCACCAGGGGCAGCTGGACATGCTCAGGTGACCACACCTCACCCCTGCCCTCCACCTGCACACACCTTTCACATGCCAGCTCTAAACTGTAATTTTTCCAAGCAGAGATAAGGCCATGAGAGCCCTTGCTCTGCCTGTCTGGGCAGAATCCTTGGGAATAATCACTGCTCATGTAGAAACAAAGAACAAAGAAATGCGAGCATTTCATGCAAATAAAACCCATCACCAAGTAATATTTAATAAAGTTTATTAGGTTACTGAGTATTATCTACAGTCATAAAATAGAAAGAATTTTAAACTGTACAAAGTAATGTCCTGGTGAAGTGAGGAGAGATGGAAATGAGGGAGCACAAGGAGCATTAGAAGTAGGGAGAACACAGCTACTTCCCTGCAGTTCTGGAAGACACTGGTTCAAGTTGAAGGCAACCAAGCAGGGCTCCACACACACTGAATTTTGTGTCCCACCCTGCGACAGAAACTAGTACAAACCCCTATGTTGAAAAAAACCTCATATAATATTAGAATAAAAAAGGGGCACATCACACCCCACCCAGTCTTGGCACCAATTCTGTGCTTTAAAAAATATACTATGCAAGTAGTTTATTTTCAAAAAGGTACCCTACAGCAGCTGTTTAAAACATGTTCTTATACATACACCACAAATATATATATTAACATTTTCAACAACTAAACTCATTTGTACCTACACAAAACTGAAGGGATAATTCAAAAGAAAAAAAAAATAAAAAACAAACAAACAAACAAAAAAACCAAACCAAAAAAACCAACAATCACACAAACATTTTTTCAAGGAAAAAAACACAAAGAAATGTGCAAAATAACCCCAGAAAGGCAGCATAGTAACCTGTGGAGAGGTCAAGAGAGCAGCTCCTGCTAATAAAGGAGTGTCATCCTCTTTACTTGGCTACTGAGGATCTATTTGGGATGTGCTGATTGTGCCTGAATTGCTTGTCCTGTTTATTGCAGTTCTCTCCTGCTCCCCAGCTCTGGACAGGTTCAGTTTCTCTTGCTGTGCCTGAGCATCACCCGTGGCCTGGATTAAAAAAAGGGAGAATTCCCTGCAGGAATCCCCTCCTGGGCTCCTCAGTGCAGCCAGCCTGGCACACTGAACCGTTCCTGCTGCAGGAGATGAAGCTGCTCTGTGGCAGAACAAAGCCTGGCTTGCACGGATTTAAGCAGCTTATCCAAGGAGAATTCCCTGGCAGTGCCATTAGAGGAACAGCAAAGTTTCCCCAAAGCCTCAGCAGGGACAGGGGTAGAGCCTGGGGACACAGGATGTGATGGAACTGCAGCTGAGGGACCAAATCCCACCCTACTGCTCCCACAGCACCAGGAATCCCAGAGCAAAAGCTGCAGGTGTCAGTGAGGAAGGAGGAGTGTGAGGACACAGCCCGAGCAAAACCAACCCAGTCCAACCCAGCAGGAGGAGGCAGAGCAGGGGATGGAGAAGGACGAGCAATGGTGACAACGAGCAAGCAGGAGTCACAGCCTGTGACACAGCAACAGAGCAAGGGGAGAAGTCCCAGCACGGCCATCAGCACCATAACCACCTCCTCCAAACTAACCAGGGTCCTGGTGGTGGAAGGGCTCTTGGTTTTGGTCTTTCAGGGCTTGGGCTTGTACTTTTTATTTTTTGGCTTTTGAAAAGTCATCAATCAATTCTTCATGGCATTCCAGGCTCTTTCCAACTTTGCTGGCCATCCTGAGCCCTTCCATTCTTAGGACCTGGTCTTAACACCTCTATTCCTAATGCCTCCTCTTTCCCCACATTATGGTTCGATTCTTACTTTTATTCTTATTATTTTATTATCATCCTCCCCTTTAGCTGGTACAGAACAACCATTCCCTCCAAGCCCCCGGAACCCCAGAGGAGGCAGCCCAGCCTTTCCTCAGGGAAAGCAGAGCCTCTGGAAATGTTCCTCTTGCAGGTGTGCTGGGGCAGTGACTGAGCTGTGACACCAGGGTTGCCTGAGAGCTCTGCAGGGAGGGGCAGGATCCTGTGGCCAGGAGCTGCAGCAGTGGGGACAGCCCAGGGCTGCAGGGCAGCTCCATGCAGTGCCTGGCTCCAGCCGTGTCCTGCAGCACGAGGGTCACTGGTAGAGCAGGTAACTCTTGAGGGAGGCTGGCAGGGGCAGCGTGGGGATCTCAGCCAGCCTGTCCTTGCCCAGGGCCAGCCTCACAGCTCGCCGGCACAGGTCCATCAGAGGCAGAGGTTCAGCTGGGAAAAGAGACACAGAATGAAGAGCCCAGCCCGCGAGGGACACTGCACCCTGCTGCTGCTGAACCCCCCAGCACACCCCGAGCATCACGAGGGGATTCCTGAGCCACCCAGCAGCCCCAGCTCAGCAGAGCACGAGGTTTCTGCAGGCTCTTTAAGCCATGCATGTGTGAATGAAACAATCCCACAACACCAGCTGCAAGTTCCTCCTCTGCAATTCCATTCATTCCAGCCAGAACACATCCTCTAGCTCGTGCCTCTTACTGCAGTACCCAGAAACTTTTGTGAGAGTCACTGAAGTGAAAGACTACAGCAGCCAGAGCACCCCAAAAATCCCAGATTCATCTCATGCAGGAGGGTACCAGCTCTCAACCCCTCACTGATGATGGAAAACAAAGCCATCTGTCAAAGCTTCACTCAGTGTTTCACTGTGACTCTTCCCTCCAGAGGAGCCCCTCCTGTCACAAACCCAGGAAGGACACAAGCCTTTGGCTATCTTTTTCTGCATCCTGTACTCAAAACCCTGAACAAGGTAATACAAGTTTTTCAGGAATGGCACACGGGGCCCTTGGCTGCTGAGGAGTCACTCAGAGCACAGAGGTCACAGGAAGATTCACATTAGCTCCTCACAGCCTGTGCTGAGCCTGTCAAAGCTCACCTTGACACTGCTCAAGCCTGAGGGGTTTGTGCTGGCCCCAGAGAGGGCTGACAGACACCCCAAAGCAGATACCTGGATTACCTGAGCAGTATCACCCTGAACATCCTTCTATGGCCTGGGGGCTCCTGCACCACTGGAGAGCTCCCTGTGCTGAACACACACCCAGCACCCCACAGGCATGGGATGGGTTTGGCTGAGGGGCTGCAGCTCCAGCTTCCACTGCTCCCCCCCAAAAATCAACCCAACTGCTCCCCCCCATCAAAATCAACCCAACTGCTCCCCCCCCCAAAATCCCCCCCACATGTTCTGTGCCACAGCTGCACCCAGCCCTGCTCCTGACCCATCTCAGCACCCAGCACCCCACAGGCATGGGATGGGTTTGGCTGAGGGGCTGCAGCTCCAGCTTCCACTGCTCCCCCCCAAAAATCAACCCAACTGCTCCCCCCCAAATCAACCCAACTGCTCCCCCCCATCAAAATCAACCCAACTGCTCCCCAGCTTCCCAAGCCCCCCACATGTTCTGTGCCACAGCTGCACCCAGCCCTGCTCCTGACCCATCTCAGCACCCATTTCTTGCTGCCTTTCCAGGGACAGAGGGACAGGTTCCTGCAGCTCCCAGCTCTGGCTGTGACACTGCCACAGGCCCATTACTGGCAGCACTCCTCTGGCACTTCCCAGTGCAGTTTATTGGAAAAGCACTGGGGCACAAACTCGCTGCATTCAGAGTCTGCCCCAGTTCTGCTGTGCTCAGAGGCAGCTGGGACAGAGGCACTGCCCAGCCAGCATCCCCAGGGACCTCCAGAGCCTTTAGGTATTCCCAGAACAAACACTAAATTCCACTTCAGTGGCCTTAAAAGGAGAGGATCTTCCACAGAGATTAAGATTTGCCCTCACCTAGCTGCACTGATAACCCAGCCTGACAGGAGGCCAGAAGAGAAAGCACACACACATCTGACCTCCTTCCATTCACAGGCTCCACAATCACTGGACAGTGCTGCTATTGAAAGCTCAGAGCCAGACACCTTCTTTCTCTCTGTGCCAAAACAGCATCCAGTCCCTGCTGGCCTGGTGCCCACACTTCACTGCTCAGCTGAGAGCACACCACGACCAAAGCCAGCCTGGAGGTGGCCCCTGCCTTGCTAAGAGCAGCTCAGTGCCAGCACTTCCACAGGCTCGCTGGCCCCGAGTGGAGCTCAGGTTTTGGCTTTGACCCTCCAGCAAAGCCTGGGTCCTGGAGCTGCTGGCATCCTTTCAGCTGCTGTGGCAGAAGGAGCTGGGCTTTCTCTGGGTGAGAAAATGCTCTGCCAAGAGCTCTCTCTCTTTGGGAGTTGAAATCTATTTCCCAATAGCAGATTTTGCTCCTGCTCCTTTGCAAGGCTCTCCTGGTCACTCTGACAGCTCCGTTTTTCTGGTGGCAGCTTTGTTGTGCTCAGGGTTTACCAGTGCTGGGCCAGCATTAGGACACCTCCAGCACAAAGAGAAGAGCCCAGTGTGCTACAGCCCTTGGGCAGACACTGTTCTGGAATGCAGGGGAAACTACTCTTCATACCAATACTGCCAAATTTATTTCACTAGCAACATAAATCCAGATTTTAATCCACTTCCTTCACCTCTCTCCTCCACCCTACCCAGAGGACTGAGTCACAGTCTGGCCCCATGGGAACTTCTGACTATGAGAGATAACAGACTTTAGCACATTTGGACAGCCAAATTTATTACTAAGCTTAGCTAGAGATTGATGTGCCTGTTAGTAAAAGGCCTGGCATGCAAGCTGGGCTGACTACAGGATCCAGCCCCTGCTAGAAATGAGCACACCCTGCTCTCAGGGATGGCAGCTACTCTTCTGAAGGATGAAGAACATTCCCATTTTCTTACATGGGAAAATCTGTCCCTATTCTTGCCTGCAAGGGATTTTAAGCATCCCTTCATTACCCATTTAAGGGAGGGGATTGTCTCAGACTGTTTTCTGTAAAGAGACACTGGGATTCCAGTGCCAGTAGCCCAAGTGACAGAAGAATGTTCCCGTGGTAGAAAGACAAGGTTCCCCATCTCAAGCTGGACAATTGGCATCACCTTCTCCCTCCAGAGCACCTCCCCAAGCCCTGCTGCCTGCAGAGCCCGGTGACAGCAGAGGTAGCAGTCACACACTTTGTGCATCTGCATCGAGGATTTGGGGTGCACCCTGCAATCCTGGAGCTGCCACAAACCCTCACCTCTGCAGGAAGACAAAAACCTTCCCCAGGATGGCCCAGCAGGGGCTGCCAGCCCCAGGGCACCCCCAGGGCACCGCTGCCAGCCCCAGGGCACCCCCATACTCACGGTCCAGTCCGTTCAAGTAGCACATCCGAATTTCACAGTGGCCCCACACCGCGCTCACCACTGGGTAGAGTTTTTTCCCTTTGAGTCCTCGGAAGGCAACCCCCATGTACTGCCCATCCACAATGAAGCTCAGGGTCCCATCGTCCATGTCCAGCACCACCAGGAAGGAGTCGGGCACGATGAAAGTCTCGTCGGGCTCCAGGAAGGCGGGGTAGGTTTTGCTGGGCTGGTTCTTGCCGTCGTGGTAGAGTCTGTTCCGGCCCAGGTCCCAGCCCCACGACTCGTGGTTGTTGCCCACCAGGGTGGTGTAGCCCACGGAGTGCAGGGGGGCCTCTGCAGTGGCCACCCCGACCACGGCGTGGGTGCCCCGCTGGCGCATGGCCCAGGTGATCTGCCACACGTGCAGCCCCCGCGTGTAGCCCACCTTGCCCCTGATGGCGTCGGTGCTCTGGGCCACCGGGTGCCGGTGGAACATGAGCTTGTCGTCCTCCTTCACGAACACGTTCAGGGAGCGGTCGTCGTTGTTCCACGAGTGCAGCAGCTGCACCTCGTAGGACACGGGGGGCATGTCCAGCAGCAGCTCCAGCCGTGTGGGTTTGCTGTAGTCCAGCCCCTGCAGCTCCTGTTTCAGTGGCCTGTACACAGGGTCCCTCATATCCACAGTCTTTATCCCACCTGTGACCTTCTGACCCATTGTGTGTCCTGCTCTCACCTCTTTACGGGCTCATCGATTTACCTGGCAGCTTCTGCTGTCATTCAGCCCTGCAGAAAAGGTTGCCAGGAGACTCTGTCAAGATGTGCACCACTCAGTATTGCCTAATGGATGGAAAGAAAAACAAGAGACAAGTTAAACATTAGCACGTTCAGCCTTGTGTGCCACATTCACAGAGCACAGCATTCATCTGTTTATCCCAACAACGTGAGCTCCCTTTCCAGCAAGGAAGGGGTGCAGAGATCCCCGTGATTCCCTTTCCCAGCAGCACAGATCCCTGTGATTCCCTTTCCCAGCAGCACAGATCCCCGTGATTCCCTTTCCCAGCAGCACAGATCCCTGTGATTCCCTTTCCCAGCAGCACAGATCCCTGTGCTCCCCTTTCCCAGCAGCACAGATCAGCTGGCCATTGATACAGATCCGAGGAGATCATTCTCTTCAGCTAAAGCTGTGCTGAGTACCTTGCAGGCCTGACTGCAAGTCCAGAGCAGCAGAGCAAAGCTGCTGTGCCCAGCCTTGGGGGACCCTCATTCCAGCAGCTCCTGGCCCCTCTGAACCCCTGCAGCCAGGAATAAACCTGCTGCCTTTGTCTCAAGTGAGCAGCTTCTCCTCTCCAAGAGGAAAAAATCCCCAGTTTCAGTTGCAGAGCCCAGGGGGAGGAGCAAGGTCCTTCTCACAGTTGAGCAGTTTTCCTTCCAGATTGCAGAGGAACCTCGGAACTGTTTGAGCCAGCTTGGCCAGAGATCCTTGCTCACTCTGTGCACCTCTCCTCCAGCACTGCATCCACTGGAGTCTCTGCTCTCACTCAGCAACACAAACAGCCCTCTGTCACACAGCTGCCAAACTGGGGGCAGCTATTAGGAGAATTAGAAGTGGGAGGGGTGCAAACGAGCTTTCTAAGAAAAAAAAGTGTTATTTTAACATTTCCTGAAGTGAGGCAATCATGCAGCGCTCCTGCCAGCTGCAGTCACAACACTTACTCACAACCAAGGACCTCATCTGGCATAGAAAACAGAGCATGAATCAGATCTGGTTTAAAAATAAGATTACTGGACATCAGCTAGAAGGTGAACAGGGAAGGCTCACGAATGTTCTGGGTGAGGGATCAATTCAGCAGCTTCCCTACAGGCTTCTACTGCTAGTCCAAGGTATGCCATTGGAACAGGGAGCTAAATCCCAATTCTTAAGTAACAAAGAGACAAGACTGCTTTTTCTTTCCTTACCCACTTTTTTTAAAATCATGGATGGAGAGGAAAATGCCTGAGATTCTTTAGAAGTCCCATCCCAATGCACAGGCTAGAGTACAGCAATTTCAAACTATTCAGATGTTGGGCACTGAGACAGAAGATGCCATTTAAATCAGCCCAAACATGTTATCAGCTGCTGGGATGCACACCACATCCTGGAAGGTAAATAAATACCATCCACAACATGAGAACAAATCCCAGCCAGTGTAAAGCAGCTGGAGAACAGCTGAAAACAAGGAGTGACAGCAAAACCAGCTGAGGGAGGGCAGGCCCTGGGTACCAGGGCATCACCCTCCCTTTGCAGATCCTGGTTTCAGCTGCTGTGCCCATCACTGCCAGGCACTGCAGCCCCCCAGGCACTGCAGCCCCCCAGGCACTGCAGCCCCCCAGGCACAGCTCCCTGGCTCTGCAGGCCTTAGGAACAGCAGCAGCTCCAACCAAAGCACCCCAGGATCGAGCCAAAGCTGAGCTGCCCTGGGAGGGGCACGTTAATGCTCACCCAAAGCAGTCCTTTAAAAAAAAAATTTGCTGGGATAAAGCCCATCAGGCTGCTGAGACAGAACCGTGGTGCTCTGCAGAAAGCACCAGGTGAGGCCCTGGCATTCCAAGGCTCATGGATAAAAGCTGCCAGCAAGGGACTGGCCATGCACACGTGGAAATCCACGGGCAAATCCAGCTGTTGGAATTGTGATTAGGATAAGGGAACAAAACATTGGCAGAGGGAGGAGAGGCAGAGATTTCCTGTGCAGTACATGTGAGAACACGGCATTGGAAACCAGAACCAAAACAAAGCAGGCTGCAGGAGCAGAGCTCTTTAAAGCACAAAATACTCGGGACAAGTAAGGGAATACAACTGTGCTCTTCATTAGCAGAACAATGCCTTGTTCATTGTGGCTTTTTTTTGCCTTTTGCCAACGAAAGCTTCATGACATTTCTGCGAGGCTGCTGCTCCAGAAGGGGAATGAGCCCAGTGAGACACAGCCCTCCCTGCTGCCCTGCCCCAAAAGCAGATTTCTGAACACAAGCACTCTCATCACTGACACTGCTCAGGACTCCACAGACAACGGCCAGAATAAAGAGAAAAGCGTGAAAAAAGGAAAAAGATGGAAACCAAGGGGCTGGTCAGAGTGAGGGCAGGCCGGGTAGCAGCACCCCATGCCAACACTGAAGTGCCACAGGGCTCCTTATTAGGGCAAGGCAAGAATTCTGCTCACAGCTGGCTCTGCTGCTCCTGGCACCAGGCTGGGCCAGAGCTGCACGGTGGCACCTTGCCCTGCAGCCAGAACACAATTATGCCCTCATTTCTTAAAAGGAAAAGCACAAGACAATACAGGCACTTTCCTGCAGGAGAGAGACAGAAAGGCTTCTCCTGGTGAATTAATGGATTAATGCCCTGGGCAGTTTGATATGAGACACAGCCAGCCAGAATTGAAGAGATGTGCAGGGGAATTAGCTGCTTCAAAACCTTTGAACTGCTACAGGTTTAAGTACAAATGTAAACACTGAAAGTGCTTTTTTTCTGTCTTATCAACAGCTCAGGCTTGCTGCAACTCTGCTCATCCCTTGATGCTCACTCCTGCTCCATGCTAGTTTCAGTTCTATTGTTAACCTTCTGGGCTTAAAAAATGGAGAATGAAATTCTAAGGGAAGTGTCAGAGAAAAGCCTTCACTGCTATTTTCAGTGAGGATTAGCCCTCCCTTCCATTTAGGTGCTCAGAGCAAGCAGTCAGTTTGCCACACTAGAAGGAAATGCCAGGTTCCCAAACAACTGCTTGCTGCAAATAGATCAAGGCAGGAGACAGCAGAGACATTGAAATGGAAGGCAAGTCCTGCTGTTAAACAGGGAGAACAGAGCCCTGCAAGTGAGACACTGCACAAGGCAGAGCAGAGCTCTGTCCAGGATCCCATGGAGCATCAACAACAAGAACACGTGAAGGATCCTAAACTCCTTGATTCCTAATCCAGTTTTGCTTTATTTCATCAAGTCAGTTTACTGTGGCTTTATACCATAATATTCATTAGGTTTACTTGTACAGATAAGAGGCCAAACCTTAAAACACCTCACAGGCTCTGGGTGCTCTGCAGACAATGAATCAGAGCCCTGCCCTAGAGATTTCCAGCCTGGAACACACCTCAGGAGAAGAAAAGGAGATACAAACACTGCACATGGTCACTGATTGTTCACAGCTTTAGAGGCTGAACTAAAGGATCCCAGACAGTGAATGACACTAAAAAACCCACTGTAGATTTGCTCATATTTCCATGATTTCACAGAAAAGCATGAGGAAAGCTTGGTTCATTTTCTTGGGCTGAATGTTCATGCTGCAAAAACCAATACCCAAAGGAGCCCCACAGCTCCCATTCTGCTGCTCACCTGCTAGCAGGTAGAAATGTGCACACATCAGAAACCCCACAAATGCCCTTGACAATGCCTCCCCTTCTTCACAACTGCTCCCACAGCAGGGATTGTCCCTCCTGCCCTGCTGGGGCTGAGAACAGATCCCTTGCACAGGGATATTCTGTGTGACCAACTAAAGCCAAGGTGGGCCAGCAATGCTGCAGCACATCCTGAGTGGGGGGACAGGGAAGGACCCCACGTGCCTCCAACAGCACCCAGACCCCAAAAAGCCAGGACACTCCATCCTCCCTGGTGGGAATTCTGAGCATCACAAACACAGGGGGTGATGTACTGTGTGTTTGTGCCTGCTGCAGAACCTGGCACAGGTGGGCTGGCACACCTGATGCCTTCATTCCAGCAGCGTTGTGGCCCCAGCACCCTCCTCACCCACTGAACATGGATCAATCCCAGAAAAAGACAAGCTCACCTGTGCTGCTGGAGCTCCCCAGTGCTGTGCAGCTCCAGCAGAGGGGACAGGAACAACTGCAGCACCAGCATGGGCAGAGCCAGGCTGGGAGTGTTGTAACTGGGATCAGGACTGGGCAGGTAACCCTGGCTGCTCAGCAATGGTTTTGGCAGCCTTGCCCCACGTGGAGGAAGTTGCCACAGGGGCAACTGGCTCAGCCCCACCTCCTGAGGAGCAGCAAGCTTGGCTCAGCAGGTTTGGCTGCTGGCAGGGCTCCGTGGCCTCTGCAGAAAGTGAAACTGCAGTCACAGATCACGAGAGGTTGGGCAAGAAAGAGCTCAGAGAGGTGGCACAGGTCCCAGCAGAGAGCAGGGAGGAAAATCCTCAGCAGAGCAGGAGGGCCCTGAGAGTCACTGAGTGCTCCAGATGTGCAGGGAGAACAAACCCCTGGGTGTGGGCAGTGCTGACCTGCCTGGACTGCAGGGTGACCCCAGCCCTGCTGAGCAAACAGCCCAACAACAACCAACAACAGCCCCCAGCCCAACAAACCATCCACAACAGCCCCCAGCCCATCCCATCCCAACAAACCAACCAACAACCACAGCCCCATCCATGCCCCAGCAGCACCAAGGGCTCTGCTGTCCCCTGGCACAGCTGGCACAGCTGGAAAGGCTCCTGCCCAGCACTCCTAACCATGAGAATTCAGCTGCTCTGTGAGCACAGCTCCCTCCCACTGCTCACCTGGGCAGGATTCAGGCAGCTCCTGCTGATGTTTCCTGGATGTTTTTGCAGAGCTGAATTTTCAATGTCCTCTTACCCCATCTCTCCCCAAAAGGAGCACTGAGGTTACTCAGAGCAGCACATCTGAGTCAATGAAAGCCTGAAGTAACAACCACCAAGCCACTTACTAGACACCAACTTCAGCAAATTTCCACTGTCCACCGACCCAGCCAGTTCCTGTTAACTGCAAAGCTGCATCATCTGCCAGAAAAGAATCCTAAGCAACAGGAGGGAGCTTACTTTGCAAAATATTTGCAATAATGGAAGCAACTCAGAAGGAATTGCAGAAGTTTGTGCCAGAGATCTCCTCTCCCATTGAAGGCAGGTCACAACCAGCAATTTTGGTTGCAGAGAAAAGGCATTTCTTTACACCAAACAAGTGAACTCGGGCTGGTTTTCCTCACAGAGGAAGTCTGGTGGATGTCTCAAAGGTCACCAGGCTCCTTCCAGCTCTGCATAAGGTAACTTATGACTGTCAGCTGCATGTTAAAGCCCAGGCACAAATGAAGGCTCTTTAGAGCAGCTCCTCACAGGCAGATTGCAGTCATTTGCCTGCAATAATTATGTTCTTGGCATGAGGCACTGCTGGTCCAGCTCCCTATGGCCAACCCACTCAGGCCAGGACTCCCCAGCAGCTCTTTTATCCCTGTTCCAAAACCACCTTGCACAAGTTCTGTCCTGGCTGTTGTGAGGACAGCAGCAGCATGAGGAAAGGTGAACAATTGCTGCTGCTGGGCCCAGACCTCTGCAGCACCAGCAGCACAACCTTACCCTGCTCTGCTGTGTCCATTTCCTCCCCACACTCACTCTCAGTCTGTGGCCTTTGCAGACCAAGGCAGGAGCCTGTGGCTGCAAACATTTCATTTACTGCAGCTCACACATGGTAACAAGACTGAAGCAATTGGCTCTGTTTTCAGCACGTTAGCTGTGCACCAGGAATTTACTCCAAACAGTTTTCCCAGCTCCAGTTTCTTTAGCTGCACCCCAAGAGATGTGGCTGGGACCTGCCTGCAGGCCAAGAAATAAATGTCACAAGGAGCAGGAAGGAAGGTCACAGCCAGCCTCTGTTCACATATCCAGAGGTTCACCTCCCTTTGTGTCTGCCCAGCCACCTCCAGCCGAGTTTCCCTTTGCTATTGAGACTCTGCACGTGAATAAATGTGCTTGCAGAAGAATCCTTTAACGCTGGAACCTACACACTGCAAACACAACCCCCCAGCTTTATGACCAAGCAGCACTGGTCAAACTGCCAGCCTGCCTGATGGCCTTCCCTCCAGCACTGCAGCCACTGACAGCTGCATTTAGAGAGGCATTTCCTCCACAGCTAAGCCACCATGAATTTTAAACAGCAAATGTTTACATCCAGAACCATCTGCATTAAAGAAGCTCGCATAACCCAGAACCAGCCACCCTTTTGCACAAGAGCTTCCTGGTTTTTGTTACTTCCCCACTTAATCTGCAGCCTGCACTGCCCACTGTCCATCCCTCACCTCTGTTTAAGTATCTGCATTCATTAGTTTTGTCTGATAATGAGGGGAGCAGTGGGAGGAAAGGTTGAAGTTTGATGTTTCTATCTGTGCCCAGAGTTTTCACTCCTGTATCAAAAGCACTTTTTTGGCTATGACTGCAAGACTGGGCAGCACCACCACCAACCCATCAGGAGAAAATTTTTGATAACAAAGCACTGCTTTCCCCTAAACACAGCCCATGAATCGCTGTGGTTTCTTGCTAGCAGCAGCTGCATTAAAAGAAATCCAAGTTCTCAGCAGCCACCTACCAGAATTCCCCTTCTGTCCCTTCCCAGGTGACAGCAGGGCACAGCAAAGGGACTTGGAGTCAAACACATGGCTTGAAGATGTCCACGGTGGACTGTGAGGATTGCAATCTCCTGTGTCAGGAGACAGAGCCAGCAGGATTCCTGCTCTCAGGTACTTGTAGCTGGAGCTATTTTAATAGTGAGGTTGTTCAGTTACTGTCTCTTCCTTTTTTTCATGTAAGGATGTCACGAGCACTGCTAACAGTAAAGCAAAAAATCCCCACAACAGAGCAGCTGCCAGCCCCAGATTACTCAGCCTCTTACCCTCAAACACGTTTATTGTGTCTGAAGCTGCAGCAATGTATTTCCACCAAACACATCTCTGCCAGAGGGGAAGTTGTGCAAGTGTCTGGTACTGCTCATCACTACAGAAAAAGCATCCTTGAAATCCGTGTACTGCAAACAAATCATTCTTGGTCCATTGCAACAGAGCCTCTGCTCCCTCCCAGCAGATTCCTCCAGCACTGGGAACTGGATGCTGCTGTGATTCAGAGCCCAGAGCAGCACACTCAGCACAATCAGGGTCTCGTGGTGCACAACTCAAGTTTTGCTCCATCCCTGCTTCCCTGGCACTCCAATCTTATTTTCTCTCTCACCAGTTTACTCTTGCAAACCTCCAAAACCAGAGGCTGTGCAACCTGTGGGCAACCCTGCTCCAGAGCTTGGCAAGCCTCGTGTGACAAAACTCCTCATACCTGGGGTTATGCACCTTCCTCCCTGTTCAAGTCATTCCAGTTTCTTAGCCAGCCAGTTTCAGGCTGAATTTTGTGTTAATCCTCAGGTCAAATAAATCCTAAACAAGCTAATCCAACCCTTTGTCCCAGCTCTTTGTGCCTTCATACCAAACAGCAAATTACTCCAAGCAACACAAACATGGATTCAGTTCACATGCCTCATTGTCTTACCTTGACACATGGAAAAACTCAGCATTCCTCTATAAAATTTACCCAGATCTCTTCATTCTGGGCTTCCTAAGCGTTGGAAAAAAAAAAGGGCTGAAGTTGCATCCTTGTGTATGAAGACCCCAGTGGATCTTTCACACTTTAAATGCAGGTTCAGGTCCTTCCTGTCCTGAGGTCTGTGGAGTCTGAGGGTGTCACCACTGAAGACAAAGAGGAGACAGCTGAGTCACTGAGGAAGTGACTTTTTCATTCTGTTTAGGAAACCATTCTGTTCACTTTGCTAAGGGATGTTTTCACAAGTCAACACCCCTGCAAGGCATCCAAAGCAGGAACCCCAGAGCCTGTCAGATTCTGCAGCTCCTCCACAGACAAAAACACCTTCCAAGGTGTCCCTCAGGGAGTCTGCAAGCTCCAGCAGGAATTTCCCTAGCCCTGCTCTGAAATGAGATCTTGCAGCACGACCTGCACAGCAGAGGTGCCTCTGCTGCATCACACGGCTCCTGTGCTGTGCTGGACGGTGACAGCAGCTCTTCTTCCATGCCCTGGCCACTGGCCAAGCCAGCCACAGCCGAACTTTAGCAATTCTGCATCCCCTAAAGTCACCTGGCACACGAGCAAGGCTGAGCCTCATCCATCAGCTGTCCTCGCTCTGAGACAGGCAGGCTTCAACTCCCCCTGGAAACCTCCCATCACCCTCCAGGAGGCACCAAACGAACAGGGCTCCTCTTCCCAGGGGCAGAAGAGGAAAGCCACGACAAGCTGGATGCTCCCAGGAGGCTTTGAAGGCAGGAAGGAACAATTCGGGGACACACAGAGTGTCCCTGTCCCAGCAGGGGCTGAAGGGCTGAGCAGAGCCCAGGAAGGGCTGCAGGGAGAACAACCTGCACAAACACTGACAGTGACACCTGAGGCACAGTGACACCTGAGGCACAGTGACACCTGACAGTGCCTGGCACCTCCTTCCACACCTGCAGCCTCCCCATCCACACCTCCCACCCCAAAAGAAGTCCCTGATGTCCCCAGGTCAGGAGGGATCTGATGTTCACTCAGAACAAGAAGGGTCCAGGAGCTTCCAACTCTCAGATTTGTTTCCAAGGAACACGGAATTACCTCCAAGATAAAACCAGCAGTTTTACTATCAAAGTTAACTAGGCACTTTGCTTTGAAATACAGTTTCTTCCCCTGCATCAAAGGGCTGTTAATTTTAGTCTTGTAGCAAAATAAAAAAAATATAAAATAAAGGAGAAGAAATGAAAGCAGCATCTGCTCGGAAGAGATGAATGCAAGATAAAAGGTGTCTGTGACAGAAAGCTGGCAGCAGCCTTATGTTTTCTATTCAAGTTTAATCTGGGAACAACAACCATCCTTAAACATAACAAAAGCTGTGGAAAAACCCTTTCCAAATCCAACAACATAGCCAGAAGATGCAATTTCTCTTCTCCAACTGCTGCAGCAGCCAGTTGAGGTGAAGAGCCCAGACAAATCCAAGCTTGCAATACCAGGGTCACCCCAAACCTCGGCTTGCTCAAACCCACAACACATCCCAGCTCCAGCTCCCAATTCCTTCCTCCCTCCCCCAGGTCTGCAGAGTTTCCTAGAGGTCCCCACAGCCCTGGCACTGCCCCTGTGCCCAGCCCTGATTTTCCCCTGTGCCCAGCCCTGACTTTTCCCTGTGCCCAGCCCTGATTTTTCCCTGTGCCCAGCCCTGATTTTTCCCTGTGCCCAGCCCTGATTTTTCCCTGTGCCCAGCTGCTCTCTTGGCTGCTCTCTGCTCTGCCTCCCACCCCTGCTGCCCTGGCAGAAGTGCAGCAGGGATCCCCAGGCTGCCCCTGAGGAGCAGGGAGTGTGCAAAGCTGCTCCATGTGAGTTTAAAGTGTCTGGAGGCAGCCAGCACAGGGCACCCTGCCTGCCCAGCCCTCAGCCAGGTGTGCTGCTCACCTGCCACTGCTGAGGAGCTGCAGAGGCTGTGAACTCCAGCACTGCCCACAAAAACCCAAGGGAAGAGCTGGATAAACATGAGCAGGGTTTGTCAACAGCCAGCAGAGCAGTCCAGCAGCAGGCTCGGAGAGGTGAGCCCCCACTCCAGGAACACACAGCAGGCAAGGAGGGAGCACCCAGCAGCTCCAAACGCTGAAGCAAGAGGATGTTCCTGGCAGACATTGCACAAGAGACAGCTCACACTGCCAGCTCTACTGGAACACACTCAGCAGCTCCCCAAAGCACAGCATGCTGGATTTCTGACTTGTCATTAGCCCAGAAGGTTTAATGACATGGTTGGACTGTGTGTTTAGCTATAATTGACCTGGGACATCCCATAATTAGGAGGAGACACTGCACATCTCACTGGAGCTGGCAGTGAGAGCAGCCCCAGCGTGATGCAATGTTCTGCTTTCACCAGCACCTGAAAGGGTCCCTGGAAATTGCTGGGATGGTTTGAGACAGGCAGGGTGACCCAAAAGCTTTGGCTCCCTAAATCACCCCCCAAAAGGCTTCACAAAGCAGCATTTTAAGAAGCCTTGCCAGCTTAAAGTTCTACCCCTGTGAAAGCTCAACGAGACAAATGATATTTGAAAGTGCAGAGCACACCAAAATGAAGAGATAAAAGCACATTATCCAAACCGTGGCTGCAGGAATGCACAGGCTGCTTTCACAGGACATCTGCACTGTAAGGTGGCCAGATACCCCAGAGCAACTTCTTCCTGGAAATAGCAGTTGTGGGAATACAGAACAAATGTTTTTGCCACAAAAAGTGACCAAGACATGCACTGCAGCACTGCCCCTCAGTCTAACCGGGACACACTCAGAAATTCACTCCTAAGCAACAGCTTCACAAGCCTGAGCTCTGTAAATCCAGTGATATTTAACGTGGCTTCCTCAGCAGCTCCGTGTGCCAAGACCCGGCTGCAGCTCCAGGCACAGATCCCTGCAGGGGAGGAGGGACACAGCCACTGCTCAGGTCTGGGCTCTGCCTGGTGGTGCCAGGGAATGCTGGGCTGGTTTTCATCCCTTCCCTTTCCACCTTCCAAACGCTCTGACTCCACCACAGAGGGCTGAGTAAGCAGGGTCTGAGGAACATGCATGTCCTTCCTTCTCCTCAGCAGACTAAACTGTGGCTTCCCCCTCTAAAACAACAAAATTCCATACCTGCAATTACACCAACAGCTCTCTGGGACCGTCCAGACTTTGCCATCTGGCTCCTTCCCACCGAGGTGACCCAGTGGAAAAGCTCTCCAGTGCAGGAGACGAGAAGAGGGCAGTGGTGAGGGATGGAGCAGCCCTGAGCCCTTGTCCCTGCACTGAGCAGCTGCCAGCACTTCAGAGCTCAAAGGCAAGACAAAAGCTGCACAGCCAACCTATCCTCCCTGCATACCACAGCCACCACAGGTCCTCCTAAGTCAACATGCCTTCCAAATAAGTGTTTAACATAAACATTTGTAGAGTCACTTAATTCCTGGTGAACCCAGCTATTTGATGTGGGCCACAGAAAGCTCCCATGACATCAATGGAAAGTTTCCAGTTAGAAAACCAGGCTTGAAGCAGATAAATAGAAGTTAAGAAACAGAGATGAGGAAGCCTTGTAGAAACAGCCAAAAGATCTGTTCTTAAGCAAGATGCACTCACAATATACTCAGGAGCAAGCAGAAAAGAGAAGCTGCCTCGCTTTTTGAAAGTTTAGAGATGAAGAACAGGAGAGATAAGGCAGTGGTGCTGTCTCCAGAGTGCAGGCTCCTGTCTTGTCTGAGGCTGCTCAGGCTCAGAGTGTGCTCAGCTGTTTCTTGGCTGCTGCTGAAGTTCTTATTCCTCCTCTCGAGGAGGCTTGGCCAAGATTTGCTGTGTGCAAACACCAGTTTGAAGGCAAGGAGAAAGCCACTGCCACCCACCCTCCAGTGCAGCACAGCCTCCCAGACACGGCAGAGATGTAAACTTGTCTGGAACATCAAACAAAGCCACCACATCCAACAGCCTTTTCCCCCCATTAAAACCTCACAGCAGACTAAACTCACCTTGGGCTTTGATTCCTGCAGTCAGCTCATGGCACTGCTGCTGCTGACATTGAATGAAAGCCTGAACTGAGCCCCTGCAGAAAACATCAGCCCCTGGAGAGACCAGCCCAGACTGGACAGAGCTGTTCACCCTGGAGAAATCCATCTAAGCACAGAAAATTGGACTCTTCTGTCAGACTTGTGGGCAAAACAGGGCTCCACTGAGGGGCCTGCAAAGCCACCCTGCCACCTGCTGGGCCACCTGGACCCCAGGACTTCCAGTCCACACCTCCCTGGCACCACAAGCCTGGCTCAGACACCATTTCTGGGACACACTCAGGTCCCAAAGCAAGGTTTAAGAGCACATTGAACATTCTCCCGTTGAGAAGGATTTTATGCCAATACAATCCCTGCTATGCCTTCTGCTGTTCTGCACCTTGAAATGGAGTTTGCCATGAGGCCAAGGATTCTTTCAGAACCAGTCTAGACTGAGGATCAGTTGGAGTTTTTGCCAAGTTTGAAGACAGCCTAATCCAAATACCATAAGAGCACATGCCTCTGAAAAGTGCTGGTTGTAATTCCTTCCTCTCCACCTGAATGGCTGTAAGCTTAAAGCCCATTCTCCTGTCTTAAACACACAGGGGGATTTGTCCTCAGTCCTAATACACAGCACATTGTTCTCAGTGCCCACCTGCTTCAAGAAATCTCTTCTAGCTAAAGCTCCAAGAGCCATTCAATTCTGATTTCTTACCAAAACTTGCAGTTCTTCTCCATTTGAACAGAAAAGTGTTGCTATATTTATCCCAGCAAACTCTGGACAAGCTATATACCTCATTTTGCTCTTGCCTGCTCCTAAGTGCATCCCAAAAGTCCTGCCACACCTCTGGCCTAAAGCCCATCCTGCCCAGCTTGGTCAGGGGCTGCTGCCACATCCCAGTGTGTGCAGCCAGTGGAAATTCTGCTGAACCCAGGGATTCTGTGCTGCCATGTGGCTGAGCTGCTCTGCCTGGAAGGGAACAGCAGCAATCCCCAGGAACCACATCCCTACACCATGGAAGGCACCTCCTGAGCCACAGCCAAATTCCTTCCTGCAGAAAATACAGCAGGGAGTCTTTAGAGAAGCAATACCTCCAGCAGGTCTGCACCCAGCAGCACAGATCTCCTTCCAACACAGCAAACCCAGGCCAGCAGGGCCACCGAGCTGCAGGCACACTTTGGAGGGCTGTGCCTGCTGCAGTGACACAGGGCAGCCCTGCAGAGCACAGGGCAGCTGCACAACCCCAGCCTCCCTGCAGATGTGGGCACTGCTCCTTCCAGGCAATCTCCCCAGGCGTCCCCTCCCACGGGAAGTGTTGACACACAGAGCTGTGCCTCTTGCAAAGCCAGTTCTGTGTCACACCAGGCTCCATCGGCTTACCCAGATAAAGATGGGATTTAACTTTACTGCTCCTCACACCAGGAGTGCAGATCTGGACCTGCACTGTGGGCACACAGGACCTGCCCCTCCAGAGGCAACATCTGCAGCATCCTGTCACCAGGGGATCAGGGACACCAGGACAGTCACACTGACACCACGAAACAGGGCATGGCAGTGACACAGGGAAAATGCAGCTGAGTGAACATCCAGGAAAGCTCTCCTTTC